CACTATGGACAATTTCCCATGGCCAATCCACCTAACCTACACATCTTTAGACTGTAGGATGAAACTGGAGCACCTGGAGGAAACCCATGCAGACACAGGGAGAATGTGCAAACTCCACACAGACAGTCACCTGAGGCTGGAATCGAACCTGGGTCCCTGGCACTGTGAAGCAGCAGTGCTAACCACTGAGCCACCATGCCACCATTTTGTGCTCTGAGAATTTGCTCTTAGAAGGTGCACTGAGTCAACACGCTGGGATCCTTTCAGGGCACTTTCCCAGCCCAGAACCTCTACATCTGGAAGGACAAGGATAGTAGATGCGTGGGCACACCACCAATTGCAAGTGCCCCTCCAAATCACTCACTGTCCTGACTTCAATCTTCATTGGCATTCCTTCACCGTCGCTGGGTGAAGGCCAGGCACTGCCTCCTTATCAGGTACTGTGGGTGTGCCCTCAACACATGGATTGCAGCAGTTCAAGATGGCAGCTGACTACCACCTTCTCAAGGGGCAATTATGGATGACAACAAATGCCAGCATTTAATGAAATATTCGGAAAAAAAATCACTACCTATGATCTGATAAAACGCAACTGTATGATCAGATAGACCCAGATAGAGTCCAAGTGTGACTGCACATATTGTCACAAATCAAAACTAAATAAAACTAATACCTTTGGGGATTGTTCAGCTTTTTCAAACTTGTACCCCCTGACAGTACAAGTCAATTTTATGAATCAGTGTTTTAAGCGATGGGAACATATGTCAGGAATGTATAAACAGTGGTTCCAACATGAATTTACACCCAGTAAAATTAAATGCCCCTCAAGTCATGTTTTGGGTATTATCCCCCATTTCAGAATGCCCAATTTTTACTTCCAATGTGTGAAGCCTTAGCCTCATTTATAAAATGTTTTCAGTCTGGATAACGTACAGTGTTATTTCATTTCGAAAACAAAAGGGGACTGACAGCTAGATTTTTATGATTGGGGCAACCTGCAAGCAAAATTAAAGTTGAGACCACAGGATGACCATCTCCACCATTTGGTATGATAAACAATGAGATATGGAAGACAGAGATAGTAGGAACTGCCGATGCTGGAGAATCTAAGATAACAAGGTGCAGAGCTGGATGAACACAGCAGGCCAAACAGCATCAGAGGAGCAGGAAAACTGACATTTCGGGTCTGGAACGCTGGAAGAAGGATCCAGACCCGAAACGTCAGCTTTCCTGCTCCTCTGATGCTGCCTGACCTGCTGTGTTCATCCAGCTCCGCACTGTGTTATCTCAGATATGGAAGACAGCAGGCTAACTCCTGATGTTATGTGATATCATCCAGGTGCAATGAAAGATTCTGCATATCCTACTCCAACAGTAAAACTGCAGCTCGCTCGACTACATAGCAAGGCCAAAGGGATTTCTACATCTCTGCAGATATCCATGACCGCTACCTCTCCAAAATATTTCACCTCGTAATTAACCACAAGGATCAGACGGCAAAATAGTTAAGTAGTTACCTACAAAACTTGATGGTAAGAACATCTTTCTTGATTGCCAGCATCTGCCAAAACCAAGGGCAAGGCTGGCTGCATCAGAGTTTGTTTTCGATTGTAAAAACTTAATAGCTCAGAAATATATGTTTAATACTCCACATTAAAAGTTGCAAGAGATAATGGGAACAAACTGGCCAGTTTTATTGTCTTGATGGTGTATCTAAATTTTTGAAAGTCAGTGTAAAACACCCTCAATAATTGACAAGTCACAACCCATAAAAGTATCTTGGGTCACTAAAGTATCTTTATCCCTACTAATTTCCTCACATATCCAGCCATAGGGAGTTAGGAGCACAGCTCAGAGGGACTGAATGAGTCCCTCTCCCTCTCGGATAGCCTCTGTTCAATATTTCCCTCTGAACAATCATTAGTATTTGTTGATCTTAGCCACTAATAGTCCCCATTAGTAGCTATTTACCCTCCCAGCCAGATCGTTATCCACTCCTTTGTCTGTCCAACTGTTCTTCTCTCTCTTTGGACTCTATCCCCACCTATCACTTATTCCTAATCCCCTCTCCCCTCCCTATCTCCTACATATACACTGACATTTTCCTAGCTACCATCAGTTCTGAGCAGGATCACTCAACCCGAAATGTTAACTCTGATTTCTCTCCACAGATGCTACCAGACCTGCTGAGCTTTTCCAGCAATTTTTATAGTTGTTGATCTTGCTTTTTGTACACTTTCTTTGCAACTGTAACTTTGTATTCCTCGCTCTGTTCAATCACCATATGACATTTGTATGCTATGATCTGCCTGTACTGCACATAAAACAAGACTTGTTACTATAGTTGAGTACATGTGACAAAATTAAATAAATCAAATCAAATCCAAACTATTTGGATGTAGGCCTGGAGTATTTCTGAATGCACATGGTCTCCATTTTCTCAATTTTTTTAAAAGCTAGAACAGCATCAATAGGAAAAAATATCCGTACCCATAGACACATAGAGCCATCCAGCATGGAAACAGACCCTTCGGTCCAACCAGGCCATGTCAAACATAATCGCAAACTAAACTAGTCCCACCTGCCTGCTCCTGGCCCATATCCCTCCAAACCTTTCCTATTTATGTCCAATTACAATGCCTTTTAAACGCTGTAACTGTACCCACATCCACCACTTCCTTAGGAAGTTCATTCCACACGCGAACCACCCTCTGTGTAAAAATGTGGCGCTCACATCTTTTTTAAAATCTCCTCTCACCTTAAAAAAAATGCCCCATAGTCTTGAAATCCCCTATCTGAGGAAAAAGACAATTATCTTTAACTCTACCTATATCTCTCAACATTTTATAAACTTCTATAAGGTCAACTCTCAACCTTTTACGCTCCAGTGGAAAGAGTCCCAGCCTATCCAGCCTTTCTTTATAACTCAAAACTTCTGTATCCAGCAATATGCTGGTAAATCTCTTCTGAACCCTCTGCAGCTTGATAATAACCTTACCTAAGTTACATCTTGCTTTAAATAGATTCGGAATAAATTGTTTAGACCAAAGGTTTACACTGTATGAAAATGCCAGAAACTTTATGAATCATTGCGTCGCAAAATGGACTTGTTGGAAGTTTGTGAATTCACTCCTTTATGAATTACTGTCTCCTCTGCCTTTTATTTCAACCCAGAATTGAACAGTAACTTCAGCCAAGTTGATACATGGGTGGCCTGACATGCTTCTTCACAGCAGCACTTTTCCACTAGCTTCCAGAAGGCTTGCAAGAGGAGCAAGGTAGTAGCTCACACCCTTGATTTTATTTCCTTGCCTCTTGCCACCAATACGAGGAAGTCAAGCAGTAGGGTGGGGTTTGTGACAGTTGTAGCCACAGAGCTGTACGTAGATGTTCCAGCTTCCTACTCCAATAAGGCAATCAAAACATTAACGACAGTGACACTTGTAAAGCCTCCCTCTGCACAGCATTTCTTTTCAATTGCATTTATGCAGCTTCATTCATGCCAAGAAACATCCCATGCACTTCACTGGAGTGTAACCATAAATAAAAGGGCCCAAACCAGAACAGAAGATGTTAAGATGACGATATGCAAGGTCTGAAAGAGTTTGCTGCTTTGCAGAAATTCTGAACTTGCACAATGCATTCACCGTGTTCACAGACATACTAAACCTTTGAAAAGCTCTTCTTCTTTCTGTCAGTTAACCTGTTGAAAAAATGCCCACACAATAACATAATCAGTGTTGAAATGGCTACAACTCCTTTTCTGCACCAGCAGGGTGAAAACATTCAGGACTGATGACTTGACAGGACTGTAATAATCAGGGAAAAAAATATATAAACCAAGGGAATGGGTAACAAATGCAATTTATTTTTACTTTTCTTTTACATTCTACTATGATCGCAACATGAGAGTCTGTAAAAATCAAATTTGCCTTAATGTTGCTGATCTCATAAACTTCTTAGCACCTCTATGGTATAAAAGGTCATTGTGCTGTAAAGGTGGTTATGGAAAGCCGGAACCAAACAGCAATCCCAGTAGCACACACTCCCCATCAAACTAGGTTCAACTTTGCCAGTAAGTGTAACAATTGACAGTTCACTCCACAAATAGCAGTTATAATCTACACCAGTATATAAATCAGTGTAACAAAATCTAAATTCAACCAAAAGCCATCTCCAGCTCTCCCTGAGGCCTTAAACACATATATTTTCTTCTCAGGAAGTTTTTCAAATCAAGAATATCTGAGTCAAATGATTGTCACTTTGCCAAATGATAACCCTAAAATAGGTACTTATTTTTATTGCAGCCTTGAGCTAAAAACTGGTCAAGAATGAAAGGAGAAAATGACTATGTGTGAAATGTGGTTGCACTCAGAAGTGAAAGAGAAAACTTTGCACAGCTTAGTTCAGAAAATGCCAACACTCAATGCAAACACTCATCAATTAGATTATAATATATTCACTCCCAAGCATGTAGCAGGGTATTGTTTGAGAGGCCAGTTAACTTTCTTCATAAGAGATTTAATCACCTTCACAAACAGTGTAGCAATATCTGCAATGAACTTGTGTTAAAAAAAATGGAATTCACCATCCTAGTCTTTCTGAAACATACTGATGGGC